AGCTCCAGCCTACCTAATTGTTTTATGAAACAGAGTCTGTACAAAGCTTTTTGTCATCCTTTTTGGCCTTCTTTGAGCTTTCTGCAGTTGTCATCCCTTACTCTTGGTCTTTGTGTGTTGATAAAATACTTACATTTAGAGAATGGAGAGAGCTTTAAACAGGTGTTTTGAGGGGCAGGTGGGACTTCCAGCCAGCTGAAATGGACTTGCCTAGTAAGAACAAGTAAGTTGCTGAAGTGTTTTCATCTCATTTTCAGGACTGGAAATTCGGACAAGCTTATCGCTGCAGAAGTAGGAAGGAAAGCAGAGGAGAACTTACCTGTTGCACCAGTAGAGAGTACAAGCTCAAATTCAAGACAAAGTGAAAGTCACAGGAGAGTGCTTTGCTTTGATAACGTCCTACCTGCTCCAGGAGGAAACACCCAAATTCAGACTACTAAGAGTTTATCCCAAAAAGAAAGAAACGAAAATACTTTATTTGCTGTTGACTCCGCATCATCCTCTGCTAAGGCACAGGTAGCAAAGAGAGAGAAAGATAAAACGTTGCCTAGAATTCTCTGTAAGCCAGAAGTTGGTAGCAACAGAAGCGCATCTGTAAAGGAGCCTCAGCCCGAGCGGAAGGTGGCAACTGCAGGTCTTCCATTAGATCCCTTCCACAAAACTACAGCAAATAAGGAAAATGAATTACGAAGGGATACCGATGAAAAACAGAAGAACCAGGACACTGCCAAACTCTCCAATGGCCAACAAAGTGTTAGCTTATGGAATGAGAAGACAGTTGCTTCGGTGCAAGAGCTGAACAAAAAGCAAGGGTCCCTGTCGAATGGGAATGGCAAATCTTCAGTGTCCGTTTCTCTGTCTTCGAAGGAGCCAAAGCGAGAACCAGCTAAAGTTTCCAGCCAAGGCCTTTGCCTGTCAAGTCCGTTCACTAAACAATGTGTGGAAATGTTGCAAGACATTCAGTGGCATAGCCCGACTAGTAAAGCAGTTGAAAACGGAGAATTGCCAGTACCCCGTACGCCGTCTGGAGTTGGGGACAGGCACACAGATGATACTACAGATAGTGTGCGCACACCGACCTGTCGGCGCTTCAACGAGGATAGCACGACCCCTAGAATAATGGTACCCCCTGCTACGCCAGACCTGCCTGCCTGCAGCCCGGCTAGTGAAACAGGTAGCGAAAATAGCGTCAGTATGGCTGCTCATACGCTGATGATACTGTCACGGGCAGCTATTGCAAGGACTAGCACTGCAACCCCCCTGAAGGACAATACTCAACAGTTCAGATCTTTAAGGAGCACAGTAAAGAAAAGGAAACTAGAGGACTTGAATGAGGGTGAGAGAAATTCTCGTTCTGCAAATAGAAAAGACCTTCAAAGCTCTCCAACACCATCAAAAAAGAAGAAAATAAAGGCAAGTACAGGCATTTACTTTTTAATTTAAAATTCTAAATATATACTAGACATCTATATATATATTATTTACAGTGGGATGGTTCAGAGGTGCTAGTCCAAATCCCTCACATCCTATTTATATTTGTCAGTTTTACTAACTTTGCCTCGAGCCTATTCTGAACTAACAGTTTTAAGATTAGTATAGCCTTTAGATACACACAAGTAACTCCTACTGACTCTTTGCACATAACTATGAAAATAAAATTATTTCTCTGAAAACATGAATGAGTTTCTAAATTCCAACTTCTAAGTTGGACTAAGTTCCTAGGTGGAATGTAGGAATTAGGCCAAACTCAAACTAGGCCTTACTAGCATTCAAGCTATTCTTGCATCCTCATTTACCACCAGGACTAGGAATCCACATCTTGTGTATTCCCAGTCTCTGTAGTCTACAGCACCGTGCCTTTGACTTGGGGATTTAATGGCAAATAGCAAAGGTGTGAGACATGAAAAGGTGATGTATGTAAATAATCAAAAAGGAGACACAGTATAACTTGGTAATTCGCCCCACTCAGTTATAGCATACTCCTGAAATACTACAACTGAAAAATACTCGCTTACTCTTACCACGTATGTGACAAGAGCCGAGAGGCTGTGCCTGTCTGAAGTCCAGGTGGGCTACTGCTGAAGCTGAGCGCTCAGCTACTCCTCCCCATACCCGTGCCGTTTGTACCCTGGGGGTACGCGCAAGTGTGTATGCACTTCAGCGTCTGATTTCTGGGTGAGTTTTGTGCAGTTATGTCTACAAGGTAGATGGAAGGATGAGGAAGAAAGGAATGCTTACAGACTCTTCAGTATCCCCAGGTTCTTAGTATTTAACTTAACTGTTCTTTTCCTCTCCTACAGAAAAAGAAGCTACCAAATTCTTTTCCAGCAGAAAAAAACAAGTTCTTGTTGTCTTTGCATTATGATGAATGAGAAAAAAGAAGTTGAACTGTGACTGTCTAAAGCTAGGTGGTGGTGTGCTGAGGTTTTGCATGGGAAGAGAAGTTAATTCTAAAGAGTGAGTTGCACTTTCAGTGCACTGAAGTTTCACTTTATAGCAAAATCATGCTGTTTCTGAAGCAGGTTGCTAAGTGTAAATATCATTGAGTTGGTGTATGTTTATTTTTTGAAAAAGCACTTGCGTAATTATAGAGCCATTGCAAAATTGTAAATTTGTATAAATGTAATGTAAGAAAAGTTGTATGTTTCCTGTTATACCACGTTGTCCGTGTTCTGCTGCATTCTCTACTTACCCATCTGAACATTGTGAAAAGGTGGTGAATTTGAGGGCGGTGTTTGTAGTTCACTGTTCTAAGACACGGGCGGCTAACCTGGCCACTTCCCCTTGTCTTGTTGAATCTGAAAGGGACTTATTCTTCAGATGTAGCTGGCTTGTGCTAACACTCTCTTCTCTCATAACTGTCAAACCCATGTTGTAAGGCTTTGGTTGAGTTAACAAAAATACCAGTAACTAAACGTAAGGCCAGTAAAACCTCCAAAAGTATTTCTCATCTAATGAGGCTTTTCCCAACCATGATTCAGGTAAGAACTTCAATTTGGATAGGCCTCATCTGTTTACAGTATTTGCTGCGTAGGATGTTGTTTGAATGCAAAAGCTGTTTTCAAACAATATACCTTGTTGTGGGTTAACCCCAGTATGAATCCTTAAACCATAGCAATAGCCAGACAAGAACTTCAGCGTGTTCTATTGGCAAAAGTCAATTCTTTTAACTGTCATTTGTTCTGTTGAGAAAGCATTTGTTAATATCACTTACGATTTTAGCTAGACATGGAAAAATTTCCATCTAATCTTGTTTAACATAGATTTGTCATAGCTATTACACAAACTCTCTTAAAAACAGGCACAGGAGAAGCTCAGCCTACATTTTAGTAATAATTAGCACGGGTGAAAATTAGCACACTAAGCCTTGCTCCGATACTGCAGAATTTTCTCTACTGGTATTTCCTCCTTTGTTCTCAAATTGTCGAGGTCTTAAAAAAATGCAAGTTTTCTTGTAAGAGATCTGTACAGCAACAGGGCAATGTTTCAGATAGTATACAAGGATTCCTAAGGAACCAATATTATGCAGTAGATGTTTATATTAAACCCATCCAATAACTAAATACTGCATAGCATTTACAGCTTGAATAAATATTTTTGTTTTAATAAAAAGCTGTGTGTCTTGCTTAATATTTTTTAAGTCCACTAAGCAGCTTTGCGGACATTGTATAGAAAAGTCATGTTGATCAGTCATTTTTGAAGACAAAGAGTTCAGTATTAAACATTAAGTTCTAATAGCAATTGTCAGAGGGGCTGGGGCAGGCAAGCAAAGAAAAATTGTCTTAAGCATAAAATGCTTAATAGTATTCTGACAGTTGATATATGTGATATTTTTAAATAGATTGTAAATAATAAATAGTAGCTCTTTCATGGGACAGCCACTGTCCACCATAGTCTTTCTTTTTCAGGTCAGGTGATACGGTAATACTAAGACGTGAATTACCAGATCACTTTTTCTTTCAAAGGAAAAAAAACATCTTCAGTTCCAAGCTGCTGTCATATGGCAAATAATTTTTAGAAGAAAAGGTGTCAGAGCATGAATGATGGTTAGTTTTCTTGGAATGTAGCATTTAAACCCCACTCTTCATTTGCTACCTCTACAAGTACATTCCTTCCCAGAAAAAAAGAGATCCCACTACATCCTTGTCAAAGTATTTACTACCCCTACTTTATGGAGGAAAATGTAAGGACAGTCAGCGGGTAGAGATGACTTCCTGTTGGAACTAATGTCAAAATAAGAAAGCAGTTGTCCTAAATACCAGCTAAGAAACTTTAAAGTGTTTGATGTTTGTCCCTTGTGAAAAGAGCGAGGTGGGAATAGGCTTTATACTCGTGAAATAGCCAGTTTTTGCCCTCTGGTAAAAAGCCTGCCGAAAAAACTGCATTAACTTCTCCCTGAAGTCTTGAACAAGATTCATTCCAGGAAAGTATTGTCCTGTCTCCCCATGCTTGCAATAAGAATGCTTAACCCTGTCTTCCTGAAGACTTAGCTGTGAATTCAAGAGCACAGCCAGGTATTGGGCAGCTTCCCAGTGAAGAAGCTCCCAGTGGCAACTGCAACAGCAGTTGCATTTTTTGGTCCGGAATCTGTCTCTACTTAAAAGCATATTGACAGAAGTCTACATCACAGAGGTTTAAATGAACAAAAAAGGAGCAGGAGCATTTTGAGGCCATATTAGTACTGGCATGTGTAAGTTACAACACCATCTCTTCTAGTTTACTTGAATACTACACCCCAAGCCAGAGCAGGCGAGTGCTACAGAAGGGCTTCTTTTTTGCATTTGACTTGGCTTCGAGATACACAACCGTAGAATACCAACCTTTGAGTAAAGTTATTTCTTCCATAAAAATCACTTAGTAATTACTAACTTTAAAACAGAAAATTAAGCAACAAAACTGTAAGAAACTAGCTGCTTCTAGCAGCAGCACTACATGAGTTACCAAGAGAATTCATTTTCAGTGGCATTTGAGAAACCATACGTCAGTTACAGAGGAGCCACAGTTAACAAACATTCTTTATTCTCGGGTCTCAAGACATTATCATAATTTGACATTTTTTATTTGTACTGTATAAAAACTTGCATTGAGTCAAAGTAATAAAAGCCCAGTTGTCTGCATCAGTAATCAATGATGTTTTAAGAAATTTTAGAATAGCAATTAAGGAATTCATCCACTTACTTATTGATAAATAAGATGTAACAGGTACCACACATTGTTTTGATCAGAGAGTGTTTAGGGCTTGTTTCCAACACTATTTGGACCTACAACTTCTCTATCAATATTGCAGAAGCACCTCCTCCTCCATTGCAAATTCCTGCAAGACCATATTGTCCTTGTTTCAACGCATGGGCCATGTGAACAACAATTCTTGCTCCAGACATTCTAAATAAAAGAAAAAAATGTATATAGCTTAGTTTAAAAGAAATTCTTAATTTGACCCACACAGGATAGTTGGCAGAATATAGTGCACCGGAGGGGAAAAAACCACCACCAAAAAGACCTAACCAACTCTTTCATCTACATTTAGATGCAATACAAGCTATTTTTCTCTAGCAACAGTACTTAACAGAAAGATTCTTATACATACACAAACAAAAACTCCGTGTTTATCTGAAGTTTCTGCTGGAAAAGGAAATCAACTCTAAGTAAGTGTGTATTATGAAGTATCTCTACATGTAGCAAAGCTTTTTCAAAGAAGGTAACAAACCTACCACAAAAAACAAATCAATAGTAACGATTAATTTCAAAGTTTCTTATTTGCTTACTACTTGATGTACTGCAGTATGCTACTTTGATCCACCTAATGTGCAAAATCAGACATTTAAATTCTGTCATGAGACTGTCGAAATTAACTTTTAAGACAAAAAAATCATATTCCCTTATCAGAAGAAGCTGATACTGCAACGGCGATGTCAGCATGTCTTGAGGGATTATGCCTTGATTAGAACTTTTTATGAACCATGAAGTACTCCTACTTGTTCCTGATGTACAATGTGGTTGCTTCACATCTATATTTACTTAGAGGTTTTGAGATGGGTTTTTCCTCATAGACCTGGTCTGTGCAGCACGATCATGCTTAGCGGGGATTAATGGTATATACTTAAAGTCATGAGAAAGTTACAGTTGTTGGGGAACACAGCAGGTGATCTGACTCCTTCAGATGACAGAACTTCAAACAAAAGACCCACCAACACCCCCCAGGCTATCCCTGTCTGCTGCATTAGGTGCTTGGAGACTTTTGGATTTGCTGCCAAAAATGCTTTACCAAGACCTGGAATTTCACTTTGCTCATGTAAGAAAAATAAAAGTCCCTGTACCACATTCTTTGCTATTTCATAAGTTTACCCATAAATTTTATTAGCTTAACTACTTGATTAATTATTATTGTTTATTCTGTCATGTTAATAGTGATTTGGTTTTAATACTTCATAAATCCATATAGCTATGGTAACAAGCAAGCTCTTTATAAAAGTAGGTGATAACTAACTGTGAAGAGAAAAATGGGATCATGCTCTTTTCAAGGTACCCTGACATTTAACACCTGAATTAAATCACTCTCTACTTGATAGCGAATTTCTATTACGCTTCCTGCTTGCATTAAATGTGAGAATAAAGGTAAATGTGTTAGCAGTAACAATGCCTCTGTGCAGAAGAAAAACTAGTGCTTATTTTACTTACCCTATTGGATGTCCAAGAGAGACAGCACCTCCATTAATATTTACTTTTTGTGGATCAATACCCAGCATTTTAATATTGGCCAGCACCACAACACTGAATGCTTCGTTGATCTCCCACATTGCAATATCTTCTTTTTTCAGGCCTGTCTCACTTAGAATCTAGAAATAATAATAAAAACAATTACTACTATGAAAAAATTAGAAAGCTAATTATAGAAATAATTAGGTCTATTTGAAGTCGGTGACTCAGGCTGCCTATAGTCTGGTTCAAGTTCACATTTCGGAACCTCTTTGTGAGATGGGAAAAAGCAAAATGGAGGTACTGAAGCACAAACTTGAGTTTTCACAAAAGAAGAAATGGAGAATGCCAAGAATATGTTTTCATCACACTTATACTAAAACCGCTGCTACAGTAAGTACATTTAAACTGATACCGTATTGCCTCAAGCCATACACTTGTCTTCACTTTCTTTTTGAACTAGTCCCTACTTGTACAACCATATTTATTTTGCCTTTTAGCCATACTAGCTGCAAAGCTTCAAAAGTGTAAACAAGCCCAAAGTTGGTGAAAGCAGTATAAAACAATATTCTCTTTCAAAATAGGAGTGAAAGATTTGTTACTCTGAAAATCTGCATTCTAGCTTTGATCCTCTGAAAAACATGTGTTCTTTGTATTTATGACATAATTATAATTTCGATCCTAATTACAGGAAGATCTACTGAGGGATGAACCAATGATCCAGTGCTAGGGAAGTAGTTTTCACAGATCACTCAGTTTTATTCCTACCTTGGGAACAGCATATGCAGGTGCAATTGGGAAGTCAATGGGATCAACAGCAGCATCTGCAAAAGCTGTAAAAATCGCAAAAGCTCTTTAAAGACCTTTTGTTTTTACCATACATGATTTTTATTTGTGCAAGCAGCAAACCCAGCCAAGATAGAAAAATTCTGAATGTAATGGTCCATGAAATGGATACATTTAAAGTTTAGTGCTTTAAGTGAGCTACATAATAACAAATTTTCATATTTTTAATATTATTCCATATAGAAAACTGTTTATGATCAAAAGCCTGCTGGTACGACACTTGAAATTCCAAGGACTGTATTGAGAAGATGGCAGCCATGATGCCTAAGGGCTCACCTTTCTGTCCCATGAATGTCAGTAATGGACCAAACAGGACTCCCAGTCTGAGAGCATATCATGAGAGTATTTTCCAGGACTGTACTCAAAGAAAAGACAAGACCAATCTTACCTACTATCCGTGCCAATGGTTTGACTTTCAGTCTCTTGGCTGCCTCTGTAGTCATCAGCACCAGAGCAGCCGCTCCATCATTCAGAGTACTGGCATTAGCAGCTGTAACTGTTCCTAGAAAAGGTAAAGCGTTGTTTAAACAGAGGGGAAAGTGTGATATAGCTCAGGTATATCCTGTTAATGATTTTTTTTACCTCAGGCCCTTGAACATAAGGTCTCAACAATATCGTGATATCTGCTGCACTGAGTTAACTAAAAATGAGTTGTCTTTTTAAATCAGTTTGATTGAACAAGTACAATCACATGTATTCGTATCTGTATCCAAGTGGGGGTTTAGATCATGCCTTCCATGTCAGCTGCATTGCTGGCATTAACACAGAATTCCAGCTTTAAAAGGGTTGTGGATGAGTGGCAACTTTGATTTAGCCAGAAAGATTATAAATTACAGATTCAGGGAAGTAACAGGTGTCCTGGTTTCAGCTGGGATGGAGTTGATCTTCTTCCTATTAACTGGTATAGTACTGTGTTTTGGATGTAGTATGAGAATAGTGTTGATAACACACTGATGTTTTAGTTGTTGCTAAGTAATGTTTATGTAGTCAAGGACTTTTCATCTTCCCATGCCCTGCCAGGTGCGCGGGGGGCTGCGAGGGAGTGTGGCCGGGACAGCTGGCCCAGCTGGCCAATGGGCTATTCCATACCATATAACGTCATGCTCAGCATGTAAGGCTGGGCGAAGAAGAAGGAGGGGGGGACATTCGGAGTGATGGCGTTTGTCTTCCCAAGTAACGGTTACGCGTGATGGAGCCCTGCTTTCCTGGAGATGGCTGAACACCTGCCTGCCGATGGGAAGCAGTGAATGAATTCCTTGTTTTGCTTTGCTTGCGCATGCAGCTTTTGCTTCCCCTATTAAACTGTCTTTATCTCAACCCAGAAATTTTCTCACTTTCACCCTTCCGATTCTCTCCCCCATCCCATCCAGGGGGAGTGAGCGAGCGGCTGGGGTGAAACCACGACACAGGTAACTATGTAAAGGCACTCCAGCACCCACTGAAACAAGAGCTTATACTTGGCAGAGACCAAGGCAATAGCTAAGTTGAAACCAACCTGTTTCATTCTTTTTAAAGCAAATGTCCAAAACAGAGGTTTTCACTGGTTTAAGGTTCTTGGACCATCTTTTAATCCAAGCCAGTTCATGCTGTTGTGAAGCATGTTTCTTTATCTTAGCAGACATTTAAAATTAAGGCACTACTGTTGGGCATTTAAGCTCTTGTGAACAGACTCTTCATTGTAACACAGTATCCTTGCACTTGGTAGAAAATTAAGCAGTTAATTTAACAATATTTACCATTTTCTTTCTGGAAAACAGCTTTCAGGTTTGGAACTTTACTAAAATCGACACGTTTGTATTCTTCATCTTCTTTCACTTCTGTATCTGGCTTTCCTGAAATTCAGATTTGGTTTAGTATTTTATAGTACCGTCCATTCTTAAGACATTCTAACACAGTACTTTGATTAAATGCTGCCTTATTTAAACAACTTATGTCAGTAAAAAAATGCAGATGCATGTAAAATGCATGTCAAGAAATGTGCTTATGAAAACTGAAAAAAAAAAATTCCTTAATCCAATTTATTCACAGCAAATCCATTTATACTTCCTGGTCGATGAACGAAAGGGACAAAGAATATATCTTAAGGTAATTAATAGGGAAATTAAAACACAGATGTCCTGAAGCCATCTAGCCAGACTAGCTAAATTCAACAGCTAGTCTTCCACTTACATAAAAAAGGAAGAAGGTACAGTATGTAACATTAAAGAAAAATTAAAAAACAAAACCAGATCACAGGTCACTGACTGCTGTTCACCAAAAGGTCTGTGTAACAGAAAATTCTTCGCTAATCTAAAATTAGTGTTCCTGATATCTGCATGTTTAAACAGCACAATTTGCACTGCACACAGACAATGTTACAGCTTTCAATGAGAAACACAATTCATTTTATCACACCTTTCCATCATACCTTTTTTTGAGATAGTGACAGGAACGATTTCATTTTTCAATATTCCTGAATCCCAGGCTGTTTTGCTCTTAGTGTAAGAGCCTATGGCATAAGTGTCTTGTTCCTCTCGTGAAATAGTAAACTTCTTCGCAGTATTCTCAGCACAGTTGCCCTTGGAGAAAACCAGGCACATTAGGTTTGGTATTTCTGGAGATGTGAACTACAAATGTAGCTGAAAAAAATCAACCAGCAGATTGCCAGAATTGAATGTGACTAATATTTAGTGTCCGTGTCTAATTTACAGAGTCATGATCAAATAGTAACTTCTGTTTTTGGAATATGAACTTCAGATATAGCAAACATTTTCTGGATCCAGATTATTAAAGCCATAAAGGAATATTAATTACAAGGCTTATTTAAGTTAAAAAACTGCATGCAAAAGTAAGTTTTAAAGTGCTTCGGGTTAATGTCTTCAGAGACACTGTTCAGCCACAGAACAGTATGTTCACATCATCTTACTACTGTTTTCATTCCATTGTTAGCTTGTCTATTCCAAAGGCTACAAGAACAGGTCAACACACAGAGCTTATTTAGTCTTTGGAATCTGATACTCTAAAAACTGTACAAATAAGAGTATGTATACCTTTTGTCTAATAACTGGAATGAGATAAGTAGAATGAAACAATCAAATCATTTTATATGTATTTCAATCATAATCATAATTGTACAATCATAATTCATTACCAACACTGTCTAAATACCTGGTGACAAAATAAAAAATAAGGGTACTCATTCAACCTGAAAGATTTGTTCTTAAACATGTTTTGTTCCACCTCTCATTTCTGCAGAAAACTCAATGAATCAACACAAAACCCTTTAGTACTGTGTTCCTCCAGTTCTTCAAACAAGTTCACGTCTATGCAGTTGAAGCTTCATAGCACCAGCAACTTAGTTTATTGCCAAAACATAGACAAGACTAAGTTCCTAAAGCCGCCGGATGGGCCTTCCTGTATATTCTCACACAGACTGTTAAGGTTTTCCAAGCAACCTACAGCTGTTATAATAAAGACAAAAGGTTCTGAAATATTGTCCCAATCTATTAAAACTTTGTGTATTATAACCTACTCCTGGAGTTTTTCCCCACATACAGGAACTAGCAAAACCACTATTTACATTCCTATAAAAATCCTCACAATCAAAATCCATTTTAGCTGAAATGTGGGAGTGGATTTCAACCAATAGCCTAAGCAGAGTGCGCTATACTGCAAAAAGAATAAATCACACACAGAAGCAGTGAGGTCTTGCCCTGGTTTTGCCTGGGATAGAGTTAAACAAGGCCTGAAACACATTCAGGAGACATAGCAACAGAAACATGCTGGTTTGAACATCCCAAGGATATTCAAAATTCTCAAGAGCTATTGTAATCAGCCTGGAGGAGAAGGGGAAGCGGAAGGAAGCTGTCTCCCCCATAGATTGGCACTCTGAGGAGAAGAAGTAAAAAGTGTAATTATTAATAGTTTCCAAGAGCTAGCTCCTGAAGTACGGGAATGACAGCAGTGCTGAGTACAATCTCACAACCAATAACTTTATCGTACCATAAGCCAGTGTTACACAGTACAGCAAAGCGATAACCTTAATCCACCTCCCAGGGGTGATAAACAGCACATAAATACTGGTAAACAGTATATACAGCAAGTAAGGTGTTACATAACACAACTCTGAGAACAAATCCAACAACTCTGAGAGCAAATAAACCAACATTGTGACCAGTGACTACTAAACTGATATAATGAATGCTTATCACAAATTTGTTTTTTAACCCGCTTGGGTCAGGTGTGTCGTTATCTCAACCCTT